AAAATGCTTAAAATGAATGTAGGAAAGGCTCAGAAAGCTTCTTAGATATCAAATGGCTCCATAGGAAAAAAAAATGTCAATGATATAAGAGTAAATGAATCAAAACCATATGGATCGAATTTTCCCTAAAATACACAGTTTGAAAAATTAAGGAGGAAAAGTGCTTGGCAAAAATGTGTTTTAGGTTTTACCAAACCCAAAACATTTGAAGAATCATTTGCAATGGTTGATGAACCCTAAATGCAGCCAAGTTGGCCCATTTTTATACACTACAGAACAATAGAAAAGCTTCCTAGAAACCATGTAACCCACTGACACTGTATTTCACTCAAGAAATCATTAGAAACTGTTACCAAAGAACTGTGGGGTTTGTAGAGTAGGATGAGGGTAGAATGTGAAATGATAAAAGTTTGTTAATTTAATTGTCCTTGTTTGGGGGAGTTGGCTATGTGTGTTTGGGGGGTTGGGGAGCAGTGAGGGTAGTATTTCTTGCAAAGGAAAGTTAATTAGAAGAACATGGGCCAAATGCTAATTAGTCTCACATCTTGAACATACAGTAGTATTTCCTTGGCACTCAGTATTCCAAGTCAGCATTCCTTTTCCCGCCTGTACATGCTGGAAGGTGTTGGTAATGTACTGTCTAGAGACTGAGGGGACATAGATGGTCTATATTTCCATATTTCTGTATTGTCCCCATACCAAGAGAGCACAGCATTTCAAAAGAAGGCTACTATATGGAAGGGGAAAGTTCTCGCCAGAGTGAATTGAATGTTTTTTTGTTTTTTTTTTTCCGGAGGGTGTTCTGTCATTCATTATAAGCCCCATCTCCTAAAAGGGGTATGTAGTTCAGACAGCTATTCAGAGATGGTGGAAAATTTTGAGGTCCTTAGCCTATCTCCCCTCTCACCAATCACTGAGAATCTCGCCTCAGGTTCCCTGACAGATCTAACTTCTGATGGAATGTGAAGCCCAGCCCTCCCATTGGTGAAGCCATTCAACTATGCCTGCAGGAAAATCGGTCCAATATCAGCACAAGAGCCCATGGAAAAATTCTTAGGACATTATGCTTCCTCTGATGGAGACCAGCAACTGCAATGTGTACTTGGCATTCATGGAAGAATTATTAACAACTGGAAGAGAGATAGATTGGCTCTTAACCCTGCCAGTAACTCACTCTGTCATTTAGATGATTATGCTGCCTTGGCCTCGGTATTCCCATAAGTAAAATGGGAATATTCCCCAGATAGAGATGCCGATTCTATCAGAACAAGAAAAATTTGCAAATGTTTAAATAGCGCACAGGCACTTTCAGCAACTCAAGGAAGGGTATGACCAAAGTTTATAAAAGTTTTTGTCAGTATTCTGAAATTCAGATTGTCATAAATAGAGGTCAGTCCATTGCTATACCACCTGGCCATCTGGACAGGTGTGACTTCCCCTCATAAAGCTGAGACCTTCCCTGAGGAAAGGACTGAGGGCATCTATGAAGCCCATTTGGTGAATGGCTCTGATTCTGAGCTTTAAAAGAATCTTTGCTTGAGGGAGCAGATATGTTAGAGACCCCAAATGAAAAACAGCTACCATCCACACACACACAATACAGAGACAAGATTTGGCTGTCCTTATGGTGTCCATTAATTCCTTGACAAGAAACTAGAAAGCCCATTCCACAGTGGTTCATGATTTCTGAGTTTGAACAGTAAACAATACATCAATTTCAATGACACTAGGGGAAAAGTCATATAAAACGCACAAATATTTTTTAAATATCATATAGCCTCCACTGAAGACAGATCTACAATGAATTGACCATAAGGACTAAAAAATCTTTAGCTCCAATTCAGTTTATATTAATAGATGGGGAAAGGACTATAATGACATGTAAAGGCAGAGAAAAGGCAAGATGCAAAGTCATATACAATACGTTCTCAATTATGTTTTTTAAAATGGCACAAGACCCCAAAAGAGGAAAAAGGCAACGTGCAAAATTATGAATAGTGGTTTCCCTCAGGGAATATTTTTCTACCGTAACAACGCTTTTTAAAATTTTTTTCATGTTTCTACAATAAGCATGCAGTGCTTTTATAATTGGGAGAAGTTAAAAGATTAGTGGAAATTACACTTAGTAAAACAAGTGTAAATTAATCCAAACCCAAAAGTTTAGAAAACTAACTTGTACCAAATTATTTTAAAATATGACTAAAACCCTTTCCCCTGTTTTGTCATGAAACCTGCTTTCTCTTCACTCAACTGCATGCTATAATGGACAAGATCCTAGACTACGAGCCAAGAATCCTAGACTCTTGTCCCAACTGCCTCACGATTTGTCTGCACATTAGATGACCAGACAGAGGCAGAGGAGACAGAAGAGTCTAGGCAGAGAGGAAGAAGAAAACTGGTAATCATAACATTAGTTCCCTTGTTACCATTACATGATCCAATATATTGGCACGCACTTCTGTATAATAAGCATTGACTAAAGGCCACCACCTTTTCTTCAGTCTCCTTTAGTTAACAGGTAAACCAGTTTGTTAGATGTGGTCTCATTGCTTCAAATTTTTCATTACAATATTTTTAGTAAAGCCAGACAACCTAAACAAGTGTAGGCATCTCTTGTTTATGTAGAGGCATTCCTGAGAAGTGATAAGTATCCCAAAGGCTATAGAAATCTGAGTTCTAATCCCTATTTTCCTGCTCTGTCCTTTCGTAAATGTTTTTGGCAAGATACTGATTCATCTCTGTCTTTTGTTCTCCAGTTGCCTGAGGAAATAAGAAAGAACTGCACATGATCTGTCTCGTTGCTAACTCACTGAGGATGCTCAAAAACTAAGACGACATGGGTTCCTGGGGCGGCTGGAGGCTGAAATGTATGGCAGAAATGTAAAATAGCTGGGATGTTTGCAATGTAATAAGTAAGGAATTAGCACAATATGTGAAATATAGTAAAGAAATATGGGTAAAATCTACTGTGGAATTTTCCATTGCTTGATATTGGAATGATTCCTGCTCTACCACCAACTCTAGAATCACAGCCAGGCATCTTGAAGTCAAGGATTAACAGTTTGAAGATCAAGTTCTAGCAATTCCATTTACGTAATATTTATATAATACAAAATAATACTCATAACATACAGGATAATACACTTGCAATACAAGAAGCAAGTAGTTTCACTTATAGAATACACGACTGTGTTATTTTTATTGTGATTGAATAAAGTAAGGTACTAAGAAATGCAAGTGGAATCCTGGACCTCACCTTACAGAAGCAGTAAGGGTTGAAGTTTACTTTCACTAAAACTTTCAACCAAATCATGTTCATAAAAAGCTTTTGGAGTTGGCTGGTTAGATCAGTGCTTAGAGAGCAGCCTTATACCACGAAGGTCAAGGGTTCAGTTCCTCATATCGGCCAGTCACCAAAAAAAAAAAAATCTTTTCTATGGCCCTAAACTACTACTGTTAAAAATCACAGCGATAACTAATTCTCTACTATGGGAGAAGTTTATATGCTATGAATCTGGGCATTTTAAAGATGACTCTATTAATACAAATCCATGATTCTCATGCGAGATCACATTCCCAAGTGCTAGTACTTGGAAATTAAATGTATTAAAGTCCTGTAGGAAGCACTTTCATTGTTTTCATGTTGTTAGTTTTCAGCTGAAGTTTAAAGTCACCTCTTTTTTTTTTTTTTTTATCCCAGGATGTGCTATAGGAATCTATGAAACTTAATTACATTTACTGTTACAAAAAAGGATTTATGAACTTTTGCCTTTAGGCGGAAATGTTTATTCCATTGCCTTTGCTATCCATTCTTTTCAACTCGAACGGCTTTGAACTTTTCAGCTGCTCAGAGTTATCACCGTTGTGCAGAGCCCAGGAACTCCACTCCCAAGATACACACCACAAGTTGAAGAAAACGAAGAAGCCAAAGATATATGAGTCGTTATTTTGGCCACCCTTTGTGCCATTAAAATCTCATTTTCTGCCTATTAGAATGCCCTCTTGGTGCTTAGACAGCGGTGATAGTCGGTGATTAGTGTGTAATTGAGTATAATTGTCTTTTCACTTTTCATTTATGTCATTCTGAGCTTCTCTCTGTTTTTCTAACCACCAGGAGGAAAAAAGGGGCTGAGAAAAGATAAAGCTGTTAAAACTCTCACTCTGGGCCCTGAAGAGATTCTCGATTGCAATTATAGATTGCAACCCCTTTGTGACATTTCTCCAAATTTAGTGGGCAGCTATCCTTGCCACCTGGGCCAAGCGCTCTCTAATAAAATCAAGTGATCTGTATTTAAACAACTGCTAATAATGTCAACCTCAGACAGATGCCACATGTAGGAAATTTACCCAACCCTCTGACACGCAATTATCAAGGCAATTTATTAATAGGATCTCCCAAGGAAAGCTCACAGTCCAATGCAAATTAGAAAAACAATTACAACATTCAAATATTTATATATTCCCAAAGAGCAGTAATTCTCCTAATTTGTGCATATATAACGCATTTATTCCAGAGTTCTGTAGTCATCAGCTGGGTTTCTCTCCACATGTCTTGTTTGCCTCCTCTCCAATTGTTTTGTCAAAGCTTTGGTGTTTTCTTACGAGGTGCCTTTGCCCTCAACCCCATCAGATGACCAAATACCATTTAAAACAAAAAACAAAACAAAAACAAAAAAAACATGGCAATGTGTCTGAGCTTCTTAACCGAAGCCCAGAACTAGGGGTGAAGAAGATAACACATGATAAATGCCTTGACAATTAAGCATAAACACAGTCTCTGTGATAACAGAAATCACTTGAATTTTAAGCCTAAGCTACAACTTCTGATGCAGCCAGTAGGAAGGGTGGAAAGAAAGGAAACTAGAAAACTAAAATCATGTGGCTTATATAAAGAATACATTATGGTTTAAATTTGGCAATTCATTATACTGCTGCCTCGGGGAATTGACTATTTGGTTCTGGTATACAGCAAATCGTCTGTCTAGAAACACGGGACTGACCTGAGGTGAAAGGCCATTGCCAATGGCGGGGTTCATGGGATTGGAGGGCCCCGACGGAGGCACAAAGCTGTCTGTATAGCTGGAAAATCCATGCCTGGTGCTGGGGAGGCAGTAGGCAGAGCTGCTGTCTGGGTTGGAAGGAATAGAGCTTTGGTGTCCAGTGCTCGGAGGAAGAGGTTGAGGTCTGTGAACGGTGCTGCTGGGATCCGACACAGCTGAAATGAAGAAGATTGTCAGCCATAAAGTTCCTCTGTAGGCCAGCAGAGAAAGTTCAGTGAAAAGTTCACAAGTCACCAAAGCCATCAGCAGTATCTGCCAGTTAGATCAATTGTTAATTTCAAACTGCATTTCTTAACATGCAGGCATAGAATCACCCATAATAAATATAGGCACATCTGTCTCTGCATATATTTGCAAGCACATAACTTACTTATGTACTCTGATGGCACACTCACCCAGAACATTAACGCAAAAATCACATTAACAATGCCAACAGCCTATTTTTGCAGTGAATGTTATTAATCAATATGAGAATTAACCAATATAATAACCAATGTAAGGACTGCAAGTCTCAAATTTCTTATCAAATATACTCTTAGAGCACCTGACTATTAGTTTAATAGTATAATTTCAAATGCCTAGTATGTATCTTTCATAATCCAAAGTAATTAAGTCTTACAATTTAACATTATCCCATTCACCTCCATGTGCTAACAAATAGTGACTTTATTAGAACTTACCTTTCTTCTATTGCCACCGTAGTTATTAACCATCATAAAGCTTCAGTTAGTTGCAAACTGGAGTACGAACGTAGAGGTAAGATTTTAACAGAAGAAAAGTAAATCCCCCGTTTACTTAAGAAGGTCGTTTTGTTTTAAAGTACTGCAGAAGTACTATATTGCAGCACAGTTTATTTAGAGAAATTTAGATATGTCATAGTATTAACTATGTTTCTGAAATGTGACAGGCGCATTGGGGACAACCTGATGTACTGTAATTAACATACAAACACCATCCATGTTAGCATCACAGAAAGATTTCACCATATAAAATATCCACCAGAGCAAGCAATTGGAAGTTCCATTTTAATCTCCTTGACTGTCTTGCTCCATACCTTGTGGAATTGATGTGGGCTGGTAAGAGGTCTCTGACAGCTGGTAGGTTGGCAGAGTCGGCATGGCAGTGGGAGGGAAGCCCCCCGGAATGAGATGGTTGAAAGCCATCAGCTGATTGGCCCCAGCTTGCTTCCTCCATCTTGCACGGCGGTTGCTAAACCAGACCTATGGATTTAATTTAAAATTTGAGGATTTCACTGACAAAATAATAGTACATTCTTAATGAATTTTTCATGCTAAAGTAGATTAAAGGCCCCTCACTGACAAGGTAAATAGACGCAAGAGCTCTGCTCCGTGTTTTGGGGAACATTGTCAGGGGTAAAAGGAGAGTCAAATGTCAGGGGTCAGTAGAGGGGCTTCAAAGACCCTCATGGTCTTGCAGCAGCTCCCACAAACCCTGTTCTGACCATGGGCAGGAAGAGCTGAGCTGGAGTAAGAGCAGCAGAAACTCCCCTCCACCACCATCAACACCACCTACCTGTCTGCGGTATTTCAGACTTCTAGGCTTCATCCATAAGCCCCTCTGACACCACATGGCACATTTGGCCTAAATGTGGCCTCGCCTATTGCACGAAGCCTTATACTTTATATTCTTAGCAGTCTGTATCCCTACGGTCATTATGAGCATAGCTCCTGGAGGTGAAATGGAACCATTTCACCATCTCTTTCAAAGAGTGAGACATTGCACTCAACTCATTGGAAATAAATGCCAAGGAGGTAAGCATTTCAAAAAATGAAAGTGATTTTTATCTAAAATAATTAGTTTGTTTATTATGTCTTTCAACAACAGCTTTAAGCACCTATAATACTCTTTGTCAGGCACCATGCTAACCAGGTACATTCAGAAAAACTTGACAAACTGTAAGAAAATGCTTTCAAGGAATTTAAAACCCAAGCATTTTGTGTGAGTTGATGGGAAGAAAAAGCAATAATAGCAGCAAGAAATGTAACTGAACATCTAAAATGTTAAGAAATCACGATACAAGGCCTTCAGTGGGCCCTATGAACTTGCCTGACTCTTACATCTGCAGTGTTTAAATGTAAAACTCGTAGTGATTTTTCTTAGGGTGCTCACATGAGGTGTCCCCCAAAATGAAAGTTTACCAATTAAAGATATCCTATCAATTAAACATATTTCAATTCCTATATCAAAAGTTCACTGAAACTAGATATGGAGAGAGCACTGTGCTTGAGGTTGGAGGGATAAAAGAGGAATAGAGTAGCATCCCTGCAGTCAAGTCGCTTACAGCTTCGTCCCCATGGAGTTCACAAAGTAATCAAGGAAACTAAAATAATTGCTCCCTAGAGGTAGAAGCCCTGGGTTTGCATGTGCAGACAACCAGGAAAACTTTAGAGTGGAGGCAAAGTTTCAGTTCACTTTAAAATTTGGATATGATTTCGATGAGGGATCTCTCCTGGTGGAGGTGATAGTACAGAGTGAAAATACTCGGTTTGTTCCAGGAGATCAGCCTGTCTAAGAAAAGATAAGATGTGATTTTCTTAAAGAACAATGTGAATAATTATAAAATTTAAATGTAATTTTTTAGGTTATATAACTTTAGGAAGAGAGGAGGAACAGATTGCTCCCTTCTGGAGCAGGAAAACCCAATTTAGCAAATCTTTGCTAAAGCACCTGCTCCAACTTTTGTTACTCACCCAAGCAGTTGTCTGAAAATAATTTTGTTTTCTCTAGACATTGTTGCAAGATTGTTGTAAGAAAAGCTGAATTTCCTCAAAATATTAACATTTAATACTCCTTAAGTTTGTAACAGGAAAAGGAGGTAGGTCAATATTTTTCCATGTTGATACATAATCCAATTAGAGTTTTATTTAACTTAATAAATTGCCACCAGGGGTAATAGAACCATGAACAGCACACAATTTCGCTCCTTAAGTTTGTAACAGGAAAAGGAGGTAGGTCAATATTTTTCCATGTTGATACATAATCGAATTAGAGTTTTATTTAACTTAATAAATTGCCACCAGGGGTAATAGAACCATGAACAGCACACAATTTCGGGTCTACATCAGTTGTTTTTGCACTGCAAATCTGAGCACCTGTTCCTATGACTCCCAGAGGCATCAGAGAAAGAAAACCATTTTCAAGAAAGTGCTTGGAACAAGATGTGTCAGCCTGAGAAGGCTGAGGGTGGGAATTTAGGGTCATGTTCATGCCTGAGTGTACTGTGCCGCACACGCACTATAGTCATATTTTATATTAGCTGCAAGATTAAGGAGATATTCCTGGCTCAGGTGAGGTCATTCCCCACACCTGTCTAGATCAACTACATGCAGTGCATCTCCAGCTCTATGTACTAGGCTGGGAGGGGAACTGCACTCACAGAAATTCTGATGTGACTTCACTCATGCAGATTTACAATCCTCAGTTCCCCTGGTGAGACCCTTTATGAAAAACTCAGAAACTTATACTTCAGTTTTTATCAGAGCAAGTTGCCAATCCCTCTGTGCCAACTGCCTTCTGTAATGTTTAGATAAGTAAACCAAGTTTGATTTACCCGGGGTGTGGCTATGCCTGATCTCTCCTTCAATCACAACCTACCATTGATTCAGGATTCATTCTAATTCCAACATAACCTAATTTTTAAAATAAAAGAATCTTTGCTCAAATAATAAAGAAGAAGAAACATCATAACTTTCTACAGATACCTTCAAAAGATAGAATCCAAAGAGACTACGGGCAAAAAGATTTTAAAAAAAAAAAAAGAGAGAGAGAGAGAATCCAATCTGACTAGGGGTTTTGATTTTGTTTTCATTTTTCCCAAAATGATACAAATAAGTATCAAGGACATTGAGTAAATACATCAGGAGTTGGATTAAAAAGTTCTTCTATTTATGACACAGGATCAATTATATCTATAATAAAAGATGAAGAGAAATAGTTAGGAAGCAAATCTTTACCAAAAACCATACCTTCAGCAGGAGGTTGAACAGTTTCCCAAAGGAAGGAATTTAAATGTTGTTTAAATGTAGGTTAAATATATCCGGGGGCTATTCCTGAGAAAACCTGGGCTTAGTGAGGACTGGCCTGCCCGTCTAGCCCTTTATCATCTTTCCATTGCCAGCCTTCTGCATTTTCTAAAACCAGCTAAGGCTCACAAAAGAAGCATTGAAGGACAAACATACTGAAGTTGCAAATTGGGAAGTGGTCCTTGCCTTCTTTATGCTTTGAAACTCAGAAAAGACATACCTTTCATTTTTAGTAGGAAAAAAAAGGGGGTGCCCTTGAAATAATCTTCATTTTAAATACCTGAAAGAACGAAGTACAGTGATCCTGGGATGCTGTTATCACCCTATATTTAACTGAAAGAAATGTCTTTGATACTCAGAAGTCTTGGATAACTCTTTCAATATTGGATCACTAATTCCTAATAGACAATCAAGGACTAGTCTATTGAACGACATGTACAGGTCTGTAATAGTAAGTTCATTTGAAATAAATGAAGGGCATTTATGACTCAGTGGTTACAATTACTAAAAATTTCTCCATGTTTTGAAAAGAGTAGCAATAGCAACAGAGGCAAACTGGACTTTGACTGATGTTCTAGAAGAGAATATGGGTTTTCCACTGATGTCTTTACCAACAGGGCAGAAAGAACAGGTCACACACCTGTTAAATGTCATTCTGTGACCTATAGATCAATGTCATTCCACTCTCCCCACACAACATTACCTGGCCTTCCACATCACACTTAGCATGGTGAGAAAGTGAGGACAGGAGGCACACACTGGTCTGCAACCTATTATTAGGCACAGTTAAATGCCTATAATTTCATGTATAATATCACAGTACATCAAAACTCTCTTAAAGCAAGTTTCTATTTCATCTGACAAACTGCAGCCTGGTTCATTTCCATCTGCCCCCTGAATCTTTCCATACTTGTATGCCTCTCCACTGAGCCCTTCCATAAAGCTATATTCATGCCTTTTGGAAAATAATCTTTAGACGCATTTTTGGAGTAGTATAATGTCCAGTGGTTTTTTTGAAGTAAAATTTAGATTGGTTGAAAAATCCCAATAACATGATAACTAGAGGAAAAATTTATGAATTGCAAGCAAAATAAAATTTTCATAAATTTTTCTCTTCATTATAAAGTAAGTAACCAATTTGCTCAGAATCTCAAAAATGGAAGTTAGGAAAAACTTAGTACTTTCTACAGTTAAGTTTCAGTAGTACTGTACTTTTTATTCACGCAAGTGCAATGCAGATCAAGCAAATTTGAATCCCAGCTCCCCCACTCACTACTTCGTGACTTTGAACAATTTGTTTCATATCTGCAGGCCTCTGATTTCTCATCTGCTATATGGGGAATATAAAAAACTACTTCACTAAGTTGTTGTGACCATTAAAAGAGACCATAAAATAAAAGCACTTAAAATAATATCGAGGAGATATTAAGTAGTCAATAAACATAGTTGAGTAAAATAGCTCACATTGACTCTTCAGTCTGAGAAAACCAAGAATTAAAGCTTTGCTTTGTTTCCTTCACTCTGTGGTCTAGAGCCAAAGCCTTTCATGCCAATGAGTAAACAGGAAAGTGCCCAACAAACACCTCAAATAATTGAAAGCCAGTTTGACTTGAATGGAAGCTTAGGTCAAATTTGCTTCCAAGTTTCATGGATTAGTGCTAATTGTCCCAGGGTGTAAGCCTAATTTTGCTCATTAATAAATTACTGGTTCACATTTTTGATGTTGTCCTCAAAGGCACCTAACCTACATTATTCCAGATGGGTTATTTCAAATTCAATGTGAAAAATGGACAGAGAATATAATACTTAACCCTTAGAAAAAACCCTCTTTTTCTTAGAAAAAGAATTCACAAGATTATAAAAAGCTTGATTAAACACGACTCAGGGATGTCTAATGCCACAATGGCAAGTACAGTACTTTCCACGTAGGTAAATTTGGAACAAGCTGCTCATTCTCCTGGACTTTCTCATTCACTTCCATCTCCTTTCTCTTTCTGCCCCACACCGTCCTCGGCCCTCCTATCATTGCTGCTGTCCAACTTTGACCACTGCATGGAGAGCAGGATGAGGAGAGGACGGGCAAGAACGATGAGGAATTCCGTGCTCCCGTGCATGTTTAAGGACCATGGACACACACGGTTGCACACTCAGCTGCCCCTGTGCACACCCCAGAGCAAACTCCTGCAGAGAGCTGCAGGATGACCATATTCTTGCTTCATTGTGGAGTTCAAGATACTTCACACGCATCTTAACTTCCGAACTATACATGTCTATTAGGTGGTTGTAAATCACCATTGGATTTCCTTGAGAGTAGCAAATTACTGGTGTTGTAAGGATTATGAATCCCGATGCTAACAGATCATGAATCTGAGCAGTTTTTAATTTGGGGGTGGGAAAAAGATGGTATTCAAGGATATGATGAAAGCCAGAGGCCCTTTCCCTAGATAACACTTGTATATACACACAAGAGGCACTAAATTTTGTGTACAAATCTCCCTAGTTAACACTTGTGTATACACACAGAGGCACAACATTTTATGTACAAATCTCTAGTCTCCCAAATCTCCTGAAGTCCCTCCATGGTTATTCTGGTGGTCCATGGACCCAGCCTGAGATCATCTGATCTAACTTACCCCATATTTTTAAAATTAAAGAAACAAAAACAAAAAACTGAAGCCCAGCAGTATTACAGCAGGATTAAGTGACTTACTCAAAAAAAAAGACATTTAGAAGCTGGAACCAAAACCCGAAACCCAAGCTGGAACCAAAACTCTTCTGACTCCTAGTTAAATATTTCCACAAGTAGCTTCCTTTCCTGTCTTTCATTATCTTGGTGGTAAAAGAAAATGATAGTTGCCTACTTCATGGAATTCTTCAATAGGCTATTTACTAAAACTTTTGCACATTATAAATACTTGCAAATAATATTGCCACAAAACTTCCATGTTTGTCATTATTAGCATAACAGCTATCCAAGTGCATTAGGCAAGTAGTCTTTACTGGTAGCATCAATACTAGACAAATAGTCTTTAGTATACAACATTCTTAGATTGTGTACTCAGATTTGGCTATGATAACACAACATAACTACTGTCCAAATGAATTTTTATGAACCACTGACAAAGGCTTACATTACTATATCTTTAGACTCTATCTGGAGAGTCTAGAAATATTTTTCCTCAGGAACAAAAATGGAAAGTAGACATGGCCTGGGATTTTTTTAGGTTTGGTGTTTGGTTTTTGCAGGTGCCCCAAATTAAACTAACTCACACTTACTGGCTATCACTCAAACTGAGTTGACTTTGCTACTGCTTTCCCAGATCCTACTAAAAACTAAAGGATCTTCTTCTGGCATTTTAATCAGTGATTAACTACTCCCTTCTTTTTCCTGCTGGGTTAAGTGAAAGATCCATATGCTGGGTGTTCTAGGGAATTTGTTAGGCTGTACATCACAATGTGGTGTAAGACATGATGTGTCTCAAGGGAACCAAAGAACCAAAAGGAATGTAAAGAGTCACTGGGTTAAAGCCACATTAAGACAGCTGTTACGGTAATGAGGGCCTTGCTCTGGAGAGGAGGTCACTGTAGAGAAAAATATGAACCACTCTTTATTGGTTTGATCCCATGTCCTCTGAAAGTTAATGGGCCATTATTATGATCCTTTGACATTCAGTGAGCCAGATGAGAATGCTGGGTACTGTACAAGCTGCATGGGTTTGAAATTTATTTTCTCCCCCATCCTCAGTGTTAACAAAAGCAGGAATAAGGTAGAGTTTTTTCAGTTTTTCATCACCCTCCTTGTCTGATCTCTTTAAAATAAATGTTTATTTTTACTCAAATTGAGTTCTGGGCTGATATTTGATCTGTCTTAAGAACAGACCCGGTATGTGGGCTTGGTTAGCCACAGGTACCAAACGCTGGAAGACGGTGGACACTCAGAGAGGAACGATTGGTCTTCACATCACATTTAAACTGGGTAATCACAGAACTATAATAAAAGCAAAACATCTGATCTATATATAATTTATTGACATTGTTATATATAACATTATACTATTGTAATACTACTGAATTCCTCTACCCATTCCATTGGCATAGAGTGTTCCTCCTCACTGCACAGTACAGAAATGACCTCAGGTCATTGTTCATATCAATGATCGTGATAACATAGGATTTGTGGTTAATGAAGGTCATCACTTCCATAGTGTGCAATGAAATGGGAAGAGGAATTCAGTAGCTTCAACTTTAAAACATCAACCCTATGAATCTTGATGTGTCTATGATTCTCCCTCCACTCACCCTTAGGCCCACCTCAAGCTTACACAACCAGTTGCCTACATTCTACCTCTGAATACCTCTCACCACCATCCCTTCCATGCCATTCCCACTGCCACTGCCTACTTCATGCCACAGTCCCTGCTGCCCATGACATCAAGTGTGCACTCTCTAGCTTGAAACCCAAGCCCTCCACCCAGCTGCCCAACCACATTCCTTCCACCACCCTTCCACTCTAACAACTGCATTCCTCACTTTTCTCTCAATACTAGAATGAAAATGAAAGCTCATCTCACATGTGGCCCATGCACTTCAAGTCTCTGTGCCTTTATTCATACAATTCCCTATTACTGCATGCCCTCCCCACCCTCCCTGTCCAATGAGTATCTGTCTAGCCTGGAAAGTTCACCTTGAATCTTCCCCCTTCATGTGCCTCTCTTATTTACTCCAACAAGATTTCATCCTTTCCTCTTCACAACTCCCATTGCACTTTCTTCTTTCTCTTTCAGCACTTATCACATCTGCTTTGCTTTTGAATTATTTGTATATTTACTTTATTATCCATATGAGATTGCAGCTCCTTGAGAGAACTGTCTGAATTCATCTTAGCACCCCTTGATTTTCATAGCACTATGATGATCATATGGAAAGTTGAATACATAATCCCTCTGACTAGGCTCTGCAGTCTGGAAGCAGCTATTTCTATAAAATTCTGTAATAGAGTTAATTAGCTGCATATGTGAAAGCATTGTCAATCAAAGGACCATGTTAACTGACTAGTTTACTGCCAAGTCCCCAGCCTGACTTTGACTATAAAAGTCAAGTATCTGGGAATAGCATAAAACATTTCCAGGTAAGGTAACAGCTTCTGGGGCAGTAAGGAGTTCCAGAATACCCTAAGACATTTGTAATCTTTCTAACAGTGCTTTACTGATTTAAGAGGAAAATTCATCATTAACGATGAAAACATTATTCTATTCACAACAGAAACATATTACATCTAAGTAGCTTTTTCCAAAGGGTTCAGAGCACTTCTAAGAGTTCAAAAGGTAATTCAATATGTTCTTAAAATAGTATAATTACTTGAAATGCTTTCCGACTCTAAAATCCTTAAAGGAAGGGACTTTACCTTATGCATCTTTGCACATTTGCATAATTGAAAAGTCACAGAGATGAAGTGTATGGGATCCATTTATTTCTACATACCCATGCAGCTATGCAAACTTGGGTGGTTACTTAAATAGTCCAAATCTCAATATCCTCATCTTGAAATTGGGGGTGGTAATAGTTCCCACCCAGGGTTTTAATGATTTGATGTGTTAACTCATGTAGCTCACTTTAAAAAGTGCCTGGAACAGAGTAACCACTCGAACTTTGTTTACTATTATCTGTGTACCATCCCCAATGTCCACATAGCACCACGTGCACAGTAAGGATTCCTGGAATGACGAGTAACATGTGTTGACACACTTTTGTGTCTTAGTAATAATAACCAAAGTCTAAAGATATGCATCCACATTAAGTGCCATCCGTAATATATTTATGTTTGAGGCTTAAAATACATTTTAGATGAGAAGATGCTTTTTTGTCTCCTATTTGGATTTAAGTAGGACGTGGATGTTTGGGTGTGGTACCTGTACTCGGGCCTCAGTAAGCTTTGCCCTCTGTGCCAGTTCCTCCCTGGTATAAATATCAGGGTAGTGAGTTCTCTCAAAAGCACGTTCCAGTTCTTCAAGCTGTTCTGCTGTGAAAGTGGTTCGGCTCCTGCGCTGTTTCCTCTTTAGTGGTAAATCTGGTTCAGAGTCGATGTCAGAGCCTTCATCTGATTGGGGTGCGGAGGCTACAAGCACAGGAGAAAAACGTGATAAATTGTGAATCAAAAAACAAGTCTGACCAGGCCAGAATGATTCAAATCCTAATCTACATACACTCCCAATGTCTTCCCACGGAGGCCAAGCCTCTCCGTGCAATTCTACATTATTAAATGACATTTAATCTTTTCCCCTACCCTATCTCCCTGCCCCCCAGGCAGAAATAATTGCTGTAGGCATCTGTCATTCTAGGCCAATTATGAGCTCTTAGAAAACAGGGACAGGCCTTATTCCATTTGTATGGATTTTATACATAGCATTTAATGGTTACTCCGTTTGTATCTAATGGATGAATCACATTTAATTTGGTTCCTGATAAATTTTCACTAGGTTTATAATGAGAAATCTGTTGACAAATGTGATTTTTTTAAAAAAATATTACAAAGTTGACTTTTAGTATCTCAAAAGATAATAACAGTAAACTATTGCAAGATTCCTATATATTTATAGACTGTACTGCTCCCATAAGAAAAATCATATTTAAAATTAGTAGTATCTCATTACCAGATACTGGGAAGTACTTTTAGGAGAATTTACATGTTATTAATGTAAATCTCAAGAACCGACCCAACAAGAAGAAGGCACCGTCTAGACAATTGTCCCTAAACTGAAGTTCAGAGTCTGGGTCCCACTGAGTGGGTGAGCAGCTACCCAGGACATCTGTTTGATTTGAGGAGAACATTGCAAAAAGAAAATGTGCCGGCCCCTCATTCAAAAAATATTACCAATTTCAAGACAGCAATAACAGAGCATTAACCCAAGCATGGGGCCGTTTGCAGTGTGAGGCCCTGCGTGACTGCATAGGACAAATGCCCCTGAAGCCAGCCCTGCCATGGCTACCTCCCCACAAAGCTTGTATTTGCTGGTATTCATATGGGACCTTCAAAATTGACTATGCAGGTACCTAGGAAAGAGAATGGAGAGCAGGGAAATTGTGTTAACAATACAATGTGGTGTCTGCTCTCAGAGTAACAAGGTCTGCATGCTTATAGAAAGAAGCTGTAAACAGGAGTTAGCAAAGCTGAGGACACAAGTGGTGCCATTGCCAGGCCAGGGTTTGATGGGGGCAAGGGCAGAGCGGGCATTCTTCCTGTTTCTGCTAGGAATACACTAGGGCTCCCACAGCAAATTGAGTTGTGACAGCAATAGAACACCTGTTGGCTTATAGAGGGATCTATGCTTTGAGGACACATCAGACCAGGGCTCTGATCAGAATAGCCTATCCAGAGGCCTGATAAAGGGCTATCAGGTCACAGACCCTAAGCCTAGAGGAGAAGCCAGAGAAGTCTTGCTCCTGAGCACATCCATATGCACTCTGAAAACTCCCCAAATAATGGGGTTATCCTCTAGAGAAGGGGCTAAGGTGTGCTGTCAGCAAGTAGGGCAGGTGCTTTGAGCCAGAAAATTGTAGACGATTAATGTCAGTGTCAAGGTAATTCATTTGTACTCTCAGGCTGGTAAAACCTGGGAAAATGCAGATGGCACTAGAAGCAATGTGGAAATATAGTAAGTCCTATACTCCTCGCTTCTCTTTTATCTTAAGCTCAAACTTAACTCTGCCCTACAGAAATCTAAAATTTCATTCTATTTCAATATAAATTATAAGATGCCCCAGAAGGGGCACATCCAAAAGGAACTCATATATATGATTTTAAGTTTTCTAATATTTTAATACTTCTACACTTTATTCACATTTAAACTGTGAGATTAAGAGGCAATATAGTGAATTGATAATATATATGACAGATTAAAGAATATACCTGAAAACAAATATTTGTGCATAAAAGCAAAACAGAGTTATACTGTATAATGCACCTACTGTGTCTTAGGTATTATGCTTGGTTTTTCAATTATGTTATCTAATTTAATGTAAAACGGCTTCATTTAATATAAATCTTATTTTAGAGTGTTTTAGTACCAAAAAGAAGAAAAATACACTTTCTTTAACTACGGGAATATTTAGGAGAATATATTCACTTCCACAGTTAAAGAAATACACTTTCTTTAACTACGGGAATATATTTAAAATAAAGGAGTTAGAAATATGTCGTGCATCACATTATGAACTTCAAAAGCTCCCAATACACATATATGTTTGATAAATGTGAGCTAAACCAAATGAGCAATAATTTCTGCATAATTGTAGAGTAGAGGTTCTCAAACAACAGAATCACCTGGAAGTCTCGGTAAAGTATAGATTGCTGGCCCCATTTCCATGATTTCAGAATCAGTAGGTCTGCAATGGGTCCCAAGAATTTGCATTTCTTACACATTCCCAGGTTGCCAATTCTACTGATCCCAGATGACACTCTGAGAACTACCTCTATAAAATATTTCAGACTAATTTTTTCCCCTCTCAAAATTCCCACATGTATAAATACTTCCCACCACAATTTACCAAAAAAAAATTCACTTCCACATTTATATTTTTAAATTATAAATAATATGCCCTCTAAGAAGCAAATTACTTATTCCCCAAAGAAGACAATAAATTTCCTTAGAATGTTTTCTTTCCATGCTTCCAGTTTCTGTTGCCCTGACCTTTCTTTCCAAAGTCAATTCAGGTGAAAAACTCAACAGCATTTAAGGACTAAACAAAAGCTTCCTCTGCCTGAGAACCCTAAATCTTCACTTGCACATTCTCCTACTATGATCCCATTAGGATAATAGTATGTGGAAATTTTCATGTTTCCTTTGGGAGTCTCTGGGGTTATTAAATCCTCCCAAGTAAATATGATGTGCCATGCACTGTCAGGTCAATTAATCAAAATCATCTCTGGTTTCTGGAGAAAAAGACTGGTTAGATTTACAAGCACCAGTGAGAATTAATCCTGAGGGTCAAGACCACTGTGTTTCACCTTAACAATCAACATCCCCCAGAATCTAAGCTCTGTCAGCTCAAGGCCCTGCTCTGCCTTGTTCACTGTGAAACCCTTGGAACACAGTAGGTGCTCAATTAGTACATGTTGAATGAACACAAGTGTAGGGTAAAATTTCAGGTTTGTTCTAACTCTGATTTCTCTGCCACTATTTCATATCTTTAAAATGGAAATTCAGCTCTTACGAGTCTCCCAATATCTATTTACAGGAACTTGGGGATCTGTGAACCCTCAAAAATTATTCAGAAAGTTTTGCCAGCATTTGTATACCTGCATTTTCCTGATGAATCATTACCAATTTTTTCAAAGAAGATTGTGATTTGTTTTAAGCTGAAGAACCACCAACAGTTAGCGATTTAAAAGACTCAGTTTTTAAGAGTTCTACAGGATAGCCTTTACCACCCAAAATAAATTTTTCTTTAATAAGCTAACAAGTCACTACTTTTACATTTAAACTGTTTATCCAAAAGCAATGGAAAGGTTGCATCTAACTAGGAAAACTTCCACATAGGATCATTTCAAAAGACACAGAGAAAATGATTTGCCTGATTTTTCTTCTGGAAAATTATTTGAACCAACTGATTATTTTTTGGCAATATGAAGCCACAATCTTACAAGTTAATTCTAACTTTTCCCTGTCTGTAAACCCTAAAAGGATGTGGGCTTTAAAATATGTAAAGTCAGCAACCCAAGATTAATCTACCAGCTAGGAAAACCTAGCTATTTCTAAAGATGGAAATACTGATATTTTCATATCAGTCAATAGAAATAAAATTCATTATTTGCACAGAACTTGATTCGCAGTAACCACCTGAATTTGAATTATTCATTTTTTGCCAGGAACAAATCTAAAACATAAATCTCAGTTTAATAGCACATTGGAAACCGTTGTGTTGAAGTTCATCTATTTTACATACTCAGTTTTACTCAAGCTACTAGTACAAATTAGATACTAGATACAAAGTATCTAATCCTAAATACTACACACAAGTAAAAACAAGGCTTACTTTCAGGCAGCTTGATAGAAGGAATTATGTATTTTTTCTGTATGGAATATCTACTGCTCTGACTCGGAAACTATAAGCAATGTTAACAAGACAGTTATGTAAATGAATTAATAAATTGCTAGGATACAGACCCTAGATTAAATATAATCTCTTTGGACTATTACTACTGTGTAGCTTTAATATTAAGGGGAGATTTTCAATTACATTTAAATGGCTCAGTCATATTCTACAAATGCTTCACAAACAAAATTTGCTTTATTATTCATTAGAGATATTATCCCCCAATTTGAAGTTCCAGAATAACTCTCATAAGAAAATCCATATCAATACATAATGCACAGGCTCCTGAACAGAAATTTTATTGCTTTACATAGTATAACAATTTGCAAATTCTTTCCCAATCCATATTGCTATCAGATTTGGAAAGTTTTGACTCATTATCAAAACCCCTTCCATTCTCTGACTTATACGTTAGTTTAACTCAGTGTCACCAATGACCCTGCAGCAAACTATTCCAGGAGGATGAGGATCTCTCTTTTCCCCACATAACCACACACCAACCTGAGGAAGTCAGTACTTACCCCACTATACAGAAAAAGGAAACTGAGACTGTGAGAGGTTACTCGGGTTACACAGCTAAAGGAAACTAGGATTTGGCCCAAGTCTATGAGACTTTGGAGGACGTGCTCTCTTTCACTCTTCTAGCTTGGAATGTCCTAAATAAGTGTTGTACGGGTCGGCTTTAGCTCAAGCGGTTACTTCCTCAAGCCAGACTCCATTCTGTCTAAATAAGTGTTGTGTTCCTTTATCACACACACACACACACACACACACACACACACACACACACTCATATACACAGAGTCCTTTTGAAGAATAGCAGAAATGAAGCAAAACAGGGAATTTAAATATCAATCATTTAGCTGATTGCCACTATTGCTACTATTTGTCCCACATTTGTAAAAACTGCCCAGAATCATGCTGGCTGGTTAGCTCATTTGGTCATAGTGCTGTTAGAACAAGCTCAAGCGTCTGTACTAGCCAGCCACCAAAAAAAAAAAAAAAAACTGTCCAGAATTGAAT